AAAGCCGCTTAATGAAAGCCGTTTACTCACTGAAAGCCGCTTCTGGTTTCGCGCTTAGAAGACTGTAAATATGCGTCTCGGCATGATGTGTTTTGCTATTGGTTTTAATGCACTCTTGGTTGATCGCATGAAAATTCACAATGTAATCAAAAAAGAAGTATGGGCAGTTAGGTTTTGCTGTCTGATTTTGTTTTTGAAATTTTGGCAAGTTCTGAGTCACAGTACTATTTTGAAAGTTAACAAAGAATGCCGCTTAAGTTAATGCCTTTCTTGAATTTGAATGTACAGGGAAATGTAGCCACGCACGAAAGCAGTTTTCGAACATCAATGAAAACCAGAATTGGTGTGTAAATAACAAGATGATGATGATGATGACTTCTTGAGAATTTTTTTCCTTTGCATTGAAATTACAATTTCTATGAAGTGGAACCAAGTGTTTGGTTTCATTCACCTAGTGGAACCAAATTGAAAGGAAATTGTAGAAGTAGTTGACTGCAGTTTTTTTAAATGTAAGTTTTTCTGTAATTTTTCAATCATGTCGGGTGAGCCAGCTCAGAAAATGAACCGATCAGTGGCAAGCAGGGTCAAAAAAAGTAACGTTGATCAGCAAGGTTTTTAATATTAATTTTTTCGTAGTTTTTGCTGTCATATAAGCTGGTTACAAAAAAGATTCTTCGATAAATTTTTGTCTATTGCTAACCAAAAGTTTTACTGACATCTATTGCTAAACAAAAGTTTTACTGATATCTATTTGGTATAGTAAAATTTTTGCGGACAAGTGAAAAGGGCTCACTCGAAATAAAATTCATCATGAAAAAGTTGTATAAGCATGCTATACTGGCGGTGCGAATTAAGAGCCAGAGAATAGTAATCTTTCCTAATTTTTTTTCATGCATTTTGAAATTAAATCACACAGGCTGTAAGTGAGACTCAGACTACATGATTTTTTATTAGTTTTATTTTAAATATTTAAGCAGTAAAAAATCTATACATATGCGTTTTTTATTTGTAGTTTTTTGCTACCTCTTTTTGCTTTCTACATGGTATATCAATCAAGCCTTTTTGACTATATACTTTTTGGAATTTTGTATGCGATCACGTGTAGAATTTTCTCTCCTCTTTATGAGCTGGACTTTGCCAGATCTTTGAGGTCGCGAAGCTTACACAACTCTGGCGACGCGACTTAAAAAACTGGCGACGCGACTTAAAAGAAAGACTGATGGAAAAAAATTATACATCGCGACTTTAACCCACGGCGCGATTACAAAATTCAGTCTGTAAACGGTGTACTACGGTGCGGACCTTTAAAAATCGTGGACCTCGACCCGGATAGAGCACATTCAAAAACAACAGACCCGTAGGGACTATCTTTTTTTTCGCCCATATCCTACTTTCAACCAAGGGCAGAAACCTGGTCAGCTAAAAAAAACACTTTCTCAGCCAAATAATTACTTCAAAACTTAACCGGAATTTGGGAGAAAACTAAAAGCTTTTTATTGCACCCAAAAATCAATATTTCAACTTTTTGAAATAAAACTTTTTTGTTTCTATCTGATTCGCTAGAATTAGCTAAAAAAATTCCAGCACCATCTCAATTTTTTTTCCACAATTTTTAGTGTACCTATAAATAAGCGGATTGACCAAAAATATAGAATATTCAAAAATATTTCAAAAAAAATGCAGAGTTTTACCAGAGCAGAAATAAACACCGATAGTAGCTCGACGAAAAAAGACCACCTTCACATCTGCTCAATTTATAGCTTTGTTAGAACTGGCTAACTATAAAATGATCGCATTTTTATAAACCAAATCAATTAGTGCAATCAAGTTTTTGTTCTCAAATTAGGACAATTAAGGAACTTGGGCGGAACAAGTAAAAAGATCTGAATCTAATAACTTTAAAAAAAATCGACAAAAGTTTTTAAAAAAACTATCCTCTCTCCAGTTAAAAGCTTAATGCACGCTCTGTAAATTTTCTATGTTCGTCTATATCATGAGTCAAAAAACCAATTTCGAATAACTTCAATACCAACCCGGGTCGAGGTCCCAGACTCATGTCCAGACTTTGAGGGTCGCGCCGCATCCGGATTTAGACCCAAATTGCATAGTCGCGCCGAGAGTTTGAGTCTGGACACGATATCCCAGATGGAGCGTGTACAAACAAGTACTTACTTGAATAGTGAACTGGTTTCAGTTATAAAACTTATAACAGTGCCGTTTAAAATTGATAACGCAATAATCTTTTAATAACAAGTTTTATAGTCGCATAAACTATTCAAAAATAGTCCAAGGGTTCGAAAAGAACGTTTTCAAAATTTTTAGAGAGCCCAGATTTTCATTTTATGAAATTATTTACTGTTTAAGCTTGAGACAAAACCGTAAAATGGCTGTCTGCAAAGGCACTCGTGTGATTAATTCAAGTCTCAGTATTCTAGAGCTCTCAGTTACAGAAACTCTGAAAACGCGAAAAAAGAAGTGTTTTCGCGTTTTCTGAATGCGCTGCAAACCACCTGAAGTATGAATAATGCAAAAGCCGAGAACTGACGCAAAAAGTATTATAAAGTATTTATGTGACGCAAAATATATAAAGTATTTCTGTAGCTAAAGAACGATGAGTTAATAACTTTAAGAGCATATTCTCATTGACGTCCAACTACTAGCCCACAAATCTATTTTTTTTGAAGTTTGACGGTTTTTACAGGAAGTATAGAGATTGTGGAGCAATAACAGGAAAAATGGAACATTAACACAAGAGTTTTTATAATCACCTATCCTATCACTTAGTTGTCTCCGTATTTTTTTCTTCAAGTCTGCAGCTGCAAATAATTCACGATGTCGGAAATTGAATTATTCATAGACAAATTTTCACTCTTGAAATCGAACGTTATCACAATATGAAAGCAACAAGCAAAGCAATGTTTCAGATTTTCGGAAATTGTATTTAATTATGCCATATACCATATTTTTTAACAACATATAGTTCATTGGTAATGATTTTGTTGCTTGGTAATGATTTTGTTGCTGTCATAATAATTCTATTTTTCGTCCAAAGAAGATTGACTCCTACTAACTTAATAGCAGACAAGACTGCTTGCTTGTATATCAGGGCTAAACCCTAAATATTTCGACTAATCCTGAGGCTTAAGAAAAAACTTTGCTTCAAAAAGTTCGAAAAGTAGTTGAAAAAAGGAAACTAATGATCTCCTAGATAATCTGTATATAATCAGTACATAATCAGTATATACCTAGTAGATAATCTATTCATAACAAAATC